ACGAGTTCGAACTTTACGTCTTTCTTCCAAGGCGTCAAGATCGACCATTCCGTAGACAAATAAGGAAAGAAAGAGCAACGGATAGTAACGTCACATCCTCTTGTCTAAGTATCGAACTTAGGTCCAGGACATAGGAGATCGGATAACGACTTTAAAATGGAGCTGGGTCGGACAAGTTGCGAGACGTGGTGAACACAGGTGGAGTAAGGCGATAACCGAATGGTGGCCAAGAAATGGACATAGAAACGTGATCTCACGGGTGGACGATATAGTCAAAATGGCGGGCAGTGAATGGGTTAGATTAGCACAGGATCGTGGTGGACGGCACAAACTACGGGAGGCCTGTATGCCGACTTGACGTGGGTATACCCAGCAGTGGGTAAAGTTGGGATGTGGATGATGAAGCAAATTAATAATTGACGTTGGCCATAAAGCCGCGACCTTATAATGGAATCGGGCCGGACACGTCTGCCGCAGTCAAACGAGCTATAGGCAAAAACCACCACGGAGTGGATCCCACCAGACGCAAGACAAAGCCGTGGAAGACCCAGAACGAGATGGCGTGGCGAATTGGATGCGTATATGAGGTCGTGGCCTGTAGCCGCGTTAAATCGCGAAGAGTGGAAAAAGGGAAGGGAGGTCTTTGCCCTGCAGTGCGTCAGTAACGGCTGAAAAAAGAAATGAAATTTTAGCAGCACTAGAGCTCCTTGCGCAAGAGTTCATGCCATCTTACCTATTTCTCCTATTATGACACGCCTGTTCATAACAGTTGCAGTGCTACTCAGGGCTTTAAATCGCAAAGATCTGAGGTGCCCTGCCTCTGCGCCCATCACTTTGGGACATAAGTTAAAAAGTCCCATGTGCCTGTAATTTCACCAACACCCTTACACTTCAAAACCGGAACGTAGTAACGCTCACATTACCGCTTGGCGGTAGAAACAGGTAAGGGGTCAGTACTACCCTGGATTAACTCTTTCACAAGGAGCTGTACTGCTACTAAACGGAGTCCTAATGGGAATTGAGCCAGGGGTCTCATCGAGCGCCCACAGTGCAAACCGCTGAGCCATCTAGGTAGTGTTCGTATCTTCAAGTTGTGTCAGGTGATACGCAGGGATCGTAGAAAAATTTCTAAATTTGAGAACCGGTTCCTAAGCCGGTTGTAACGCAGGAACCGGATTTGAATAAGAACCATCTTAAATCTTTATTATGAACAATGGAAACGCGCTATTATTTTATTATTAAAAGTGAAATAATGACTAAAGTTAATTTCGATTCCATTTTTCACTTTTAATGTCAAAGTATTCATACAGCCCAAAGACACAAATAAAACGTTTAGCTTTAATTTTTTGAGCACGGGTCTTTCTAAGGAGAGAGTTCAGGTCTTACACTGACCCAATGCGGGTTGAGGTCAAAACGGAGTCCGCTACATTTTACTCCGACTTTCCGAGATGTACCCGTGCCGGTAAGTGATCATCTTGAGCTACTAGTCTGGACTTGTCATCCAACCTCAACTTTGGGCGATACATCGAAACTGCTGCCAAAAAACTAGGCATATTTTACAGCTGAACAGCTTTTAAATCTGTATAAAGTACAAGTTCGATCGTGTATGGAGTACTGCTGCCACCTTTGGGACGGCTCTGCCCATTACCAGTTAGCTGCCTTGGACTCGGTGGAGCGAAAAGCAAAGATACTTATTAACAACAATTCTCTTGTGGAGTTGAAGCTACAAAATCTCGACCATCGCAGAAAAGTAGTCTGCTGGTCGGTTTTCTATCGGATACATTTCCGGGAGTGTGCGCAGGAACTTTTCAATTTAGTTCCATCCTCACCGTTCCTCCTTCGGTCGACTAGAATATACCACCTATTCGCACTAAACGCTTTGCTTCTTCCTTTCGGATGATGCGTACGGCAAAGGAATGGAATACTCTATGTTTCCCGAAAAGTACAATTTGGGGCTATTCAAGACACGAGTGAATAGGCATTTTTTAGGCAAATGCGTCCCATCGTCGGTCACATCGTCGCTTAACATCAGGTGAGATTGTAGCCAAGCGTATGTTTATTATAAATATATTTTTTAAAAAGATCTGAAAATACGATCGTGTTGCGGTGGTTGCGAAATTACATTTTTGTGACGACGGGATTCAAAAGCTGGCTGTACGCTACGATAAGTGCCTTAATATTGGTGGAAAGTATGTAGAAAACTAGAAAAAAGCATAGACTTGCGTGTGATAAAACATGGTTACCAAAGTTGACTTGCCTTTTTTTCAAAACGGCATTGTGGAATTTTTCAAATCTATAGATAAAACTTTCTTAGCCTTTGTTACAACCGATTAGTCATGAGAACAATTCATATTTTAACATATATACCGACAATCAGATGTGATATTAATAACTCGCAATGTTTACCTTTAGTTAAACTCATAGTTACGTTTCAGCCACTAAGCTGAGAAATTCTTGAGCCACACGCGTACAAACAAACAGTTTACTTCGTCAGAAATGTGTAGTATGTAGGTACTTGTTGCTTGTTTATGTTTTCTATCTTTGGACGACATCGGTAGCCCCAACGATTTGCACTGTGTGCACTGGATCCGAGTTCGATTCCCTGTAGAACTAATTTAAAAGTCCCGTAGTGAATTGAGTTGCTCTGGTTTTCATTTCATTTGGCGAATTCCCTAGTTCGAGACCAGAAAATTACAGGCACATGGTGCAGTGACGGTGCTCCCAGATCTTTATGATTTAAAGCTCTGAGTAACACTGCAACTGTTATGGGCAGGCGCGTGACTTACTATTGGGCGCACGACTTGTTCTTCCCGTCATTTGGTATTATAAAAAAAATGTGTGTTTATTATGGGCACTCATAATTATAATAAACACATTTCGTATATCAAAACTAGGTATATGTATAGTGCTAGTTGGTACTATATTTGTCATAAATTTACAAGTGTGACATTTGTTAAAATCTGACAAACTGTTTAAGAAAGTAGAAAAAGTATGATTTGTTGCCAGAAAATATTATTAATTTTGTATGAATATTTTTTTTTTGTAATTTGACCAATTTCTGCTGTCCCAATTTCTTTTCTTCCCATACAATGAAGTGAACCTTATAAGAAACTGAGTTAGCATTAAAAAAATATTCAATTTTATTAATTTTGTATGAAGAAGTATTTTGTGAAATATGATTTTCGTCCCATACAATGAAATGAATCCTTCATGAAACTGAGTAGATCAGCACTATAAAAATTTTGATCAATTTCATTCATTTTTATAGACAACTCACGCTTGACCAAAAAATTGACTCTGCCAAAATTGTTTTCACAAAAAAAGACTTAACGGTACCTAAGACAGTTTCCTAGAAGTTTCGATTTCCCATTTAAAAAAAAAAGCACAAATATTTAATATACCTTTATCTAAAGGGTTCTTCAACAAGAACTTTGTTTTGTAAATCAAAATAAAACAATAAATTTAGACGACAATGATTCAAAGTTTTATTGTATTAAAAAAAGTAAGGTTTGACAATTATGAATGAAAAATGGTATCTGATTAATGTGCACCATGACCACACTTACAGATGTCGATTCTTTCAACAAAGTTTTTAATCACTTTTTGACAAAATGGTGGATCTATTTCGTTAATCACTTGACAAATTTGGAGTTTTAAGGCTGCAATTAAACTCTTATTACTCTGCCTTTAAAATAACCCCATAAAAAATAATCCAGCAGTGTTAAATCACATGGTTGAGCTGGCCACTTAACGGCTGAATTTCGTGCAATTATGCGATCGGGAAATTTGGTTTGCAATAAATTCATTGTTTCGGTGGCTGTGTGACTAGACTTTTTTCTCGAATTCTCAATTTCAGTAAAAATTGTTTTACTTTTTGTTGTATCTATATGTAGACTTTTATCTACTTATTTAAAACACCCTATTATGACCATTGGTGACCAGCACAAATAAAGAATCAGAGTCAAAATCAACAGGATCAAAGAACTGTAAAATTTTCTTTTTTTCATTTCTCAGGTCTGATAGACCTCTGCTAGCTGGTGCATATTATGTTGGTCTAGCAGTGACCTAAGTATACTTATTAGAGGGTAACATTTATTTAGGTGCTGTTTTATGGAAGAATCTAGTCTCTGCCTTACTGAGCCTTGGGTTGGATATATGCTAAATGAAAGTACAGTATCTATGAGAGCTGCATTCAGATGTTTAACTTTAACTAATACTTAAAAGGTAGGTAAGTACATATATGCGCATATGCATATGTTTCTTTATACAGAAACAGAAACAATGTGTACACAAACATATTTCATATAATTTATATGATCAGATTAAAAATTATACCAATCCTGAAGATAATTTTTAAAATAAACTTACAGAATTATATATCTGTACATTTAATAAAACAAACATTATTATAATGACACTAAGGTGCATATTTAATTCTTTCAATATCTACTTTTAATATTATAAAAGTTATTGTAAATTAAAAATGTGAACGATAATTAATATCAATTCTTATAGCTTAAGAGTAGAGTTTCTTGCTCATTCTTTGTCCAAGAGAATCTGTTTTACGAGTGATTGTGTGTGTTAATTAATGTATTTAATGTTATGGATGATTTTAAGTTATTTATGTGACAAATAAATTGAATTTAGAATGGTTTTTAATTTCAATCTGTGTGCTTTTGAATGCATAGAGTATTTCTGATAATTTCGATTGTTCTAATTTTACTGCCATCTGGTTTATAATATATCATATTCCGTTATCAAGAACGTTATTACATAGGTACACCGGTAATAATTTCCTCAACAGCGCAGATCTCGCGTTATACATATACGTACATAGTTATGATTGTAGGTAGTAACATCAAAACAATATCTATTTATATTATATATAATAGTAGAATGAGAATGTCCGCGTTTCTAAAGTAAATAGAAAAGTACAGTAATTATTGTTTCGATGATTCACGGAACGTGGAAAAGAAAGTAAAATATTGAATGAAAATTACCTTGTTAAATATTCGCCGCCAGTACAAATTCGATCTCGTCGGTGTCAAAGGCACGGAGACTGTAGTTTCCCGTTGTGTGGTAGGCATTTTCACCAAAATTCTTTTGCCAACAAGTTCAACAAGCAAAAATTATTGAGGTAAATAGAACATCATACAACACGTCCGCTTTTGAGCTAGCTAGCAGATACCAGCAATCAATTTATCCTTGATATTGTGCGATAAGATAAAATTCTAACAAAAATTATGATATTCGATATTGTTTTAGTACATTAAAAGTTTTTGTGAAAATAACATTTACAACCTACACCTTTACGACACCATGAGCGACTGACAGGTTTATTTAGTTACGTCAAAACTTTTTCCATTTGCCGTGACTGCAGCTCAGCTTGAATATGATTGGCTAATAAATTAAGTTGACATACATGTGACCAATAAAATGTTAATAGTTAAATTTTCTTGAACAAATAGAACATAGATGCTTTTTTGTGATTTTTATGCCTACATTCTTAGTTGTAATGATTGGAAATTCTTTGGGACTATGACACAATAGCGTTAATTTACAATATTTTTGGTTATAAGTAAGTTTGAGAGAATAGCGTAATTTTTTGTAGTTTTGAATAAAATAAAAATTTTATTTCAGTTTTCAGTTTAAGTGCAGCAATTTTTTAGCTACTTTTCAATTTTAATTTCGAACGCAACCGTGTTACCATGGAAACCATCACTTTGCGTAAACAAAGATATGTCAATGTTTGTTTTCTAGAGTTTTATCGAAAGCTTATTAATAAAATTAAGATAGTTAACGATATAATGAACGACTTTAATCGTTGCAATAAAGTTTCTGGAGTGCATTGGCTAAAGAAACCTGTAGAAGACATACAAATCAAGTAAGATATATTATGATACATAAACTTCTTTGAAGTTCTTTAGTAATTTCTAATTACTTATAATTTAATTAATGAAGTGTTCAGGAAATTGTATAAATATTTAGTAGTTTTCTTTGGTTGCTATTGAAAGTGATATTTTGCTTCAGAATAAAATTAAAACCTAAAGATGGTATACTTTCACTACCGAAATTCGAAGATTACGCAAACGAGTCGAACAATGTGACCCTAAAGCAACTCGAAACTGAAGTAGAAGAATACAATTTGAAATGGCAAGAGAAAGTATTTAGTGTATGGGAGATGCAACGCTACTCAGATGCTCATAATTGTTTAACAGATACTGAGTTAAACTACAACGAAATGTTAAACAGTAGACATTATGAACACTCCAAGATTTTTACCTACATCCATGAAGACTACCATTTACCTTTGCCTGGAGATTTAAAAAAAATAAATTCTAAACTAAAAGTTCCAAGTTTGAATTTATGTTTAGAAAGATTGAGCCTGCATGAAAATGTGAGTAGAATGTTTGGTGAAGATACAAGTTCTTTGAGGCATTTATTTAGGAGTGAAGAGAATATTTGTGAGGGAAAGGAGCAATGGATTGCTATGCATGTTGTATTTGATAATTCAGAATATAACAAGTAAGTTATATCAACAATTTTCAATCAGTTGCAATATCAATTCTCACAGAACTTGCCATTTATAAAATCTTTTCCCTAAAAAGAGAGTATTCCATCACAATACAATAGGTTAATAGATCAGTGTGGTAATACCGAGCTTCTGAGCAGAGTTCTGTGAGCTTACTTTGAAGAGCTTCGCACGAAAACGGTGATTAAGTTTTCTGTCACTAATGGTCGTATTCCAGAGCTCTACTCAATGCTCAAGTCAGGACTTGAGTATTGCAGTGAGCACTAAAAATCATACACAAGTCCCTGCCATTAGGGTCGTATTTCCAGTGCTTGTGTTTCCAGTGCAATCCTGACTTGAGCATTGAGTAGGGTTCTAGAAAACGACCCTAAGATTGTGCTGCTTTCTCTAAATGAAGTGTATACAGAACAAGCTGCTGTATTAGCAGAGTTTTGGTATATAATAATAATAATGCACATACACATAGTCCTGAAACCCACACCACCACAAACCACAAATTACACTCATACTCACGAGATAATTAATGTACAATTATTTAAACTGGTCCAGGAAACGAACCTGAGACGTCTGCATGGCAGACCGGTATGGTAACCATTTTGTTTTGGCTACAGAGGCAGGTTATTATAGGTACCCAAGGCGCCGACTCAACCGGCCAGAGGGAAACCCGGGGGGGTTTTAGTGAGGTAGGCCCTCCAGTCTGGAGGGAGAGTCCCCAAATAGATAGAGTCCCCTGAGCCCAGGGAGACTCAGGGGTATCCATAAAGATTTCCCTCTTTAAAAAAAAAGGTAACTGTAGGTATATACTACATTGTCGGGGTTCTTCTTCATAAGGCTGTCCCATAAAAACTAACTTATAACAAAAACTACCCATTTCAGCGATTCTCAGCTTCTGCTAAAGCAGGAAGCAATGCTCCTATCTCTCTTCTACAATGCAGCACAAAAGTACTTAGTAATATCCCCAGATATAAATAATATGGAACTAAATCCTTACACAGTAGAGACTGCAAGTGGATTGGTTTTGGGCTATCATTATAGTATTGATGTTAGTTTTGAAGAAGGGGAAAGTGGGGGTGACCTCATGATACTGGTAAGTTGATGTTATATTGTAACGGGTTATAAGGTGTTGAAGGATTTTCCAATTGAACATTTTATATAATGTGACGAGTCAATTGTATCTATTTGTTAAATTGTTACAGACTAAAATGACTCTTAGGGCATGTTGGTGTTGTTGTTGTGACGCAGGAACTCGTAGCTGCTCTGTAAATAAACTATGCTCAATGAGCTATTGGCATCAGAACCAGTGCTGCCACATCCAATTTTAAAATCCGTAGGGTGGCGCTCAAAAATCCGTAGAATTCCGTAGATTGCTTCTGGAAAAATCCGTAGATCCACAGAGTTTTCTTAAAGCTTTTTCGGTATTTACTTAGTTCCTACTTTGTTAAGAAATTGAAAACTAAATAAAGTAACTAAAGCATTAGGAACTACAAAAAAAAAGTGATTTCATAGATCATAACAATATACATTTTTTTCCAGTTCGTTTTAATAAATCTGTTAATACAGGTTCACAGGTTATCTGTTAATACAGACCAAGTGGTCTTAAGTTCAATCTCAGAGTATACAAGCGAAATATGTACAGGCCAAGTCAATGTAAAATCTAAAAAAAAAATATTACGATCATTAGTTGTAGTATTTATTCGCACTTCGTTCCGTTTCATGCAGTCGCTTCAATCTATCTAACGACCATAACTATGCTGTGGACTTATGGAGTAGATACTCCATAAATCGTTTGATATTTTGTACCATAGAATTGAAATCAAGCTTAACATGCTTTTTAACCCTGACGTTTCGTTTTAAGCACAATTTTATTTTTTATACTGTTATTTAAGTAGACGGAACGAAAATCCGTAGATTTGTCATTAATTTCTGTCTTCCGTAGACGAGACTAAAATTCTGTAGATCTACTATAAGTTTGTTGTAAATGCTTGAAATTGTGATAAGATGAATGCCAGAGAAACATGTGTTTTAGTAGAATATCTGCTCTGTTGATTAGTTTCGTTTGACGGTGTGGTACTTTACCGACTGTCATACCATGTCATTTTTTACAATGAATTTATAACTAACAACAGAGTTCTAGAACGATGTTTTTTTTGCATTCTTTCGTCCTAAAGAACACCATATAATATATATTAATAGTATAATAATAATTTCACTAACCAGATAGCCTTAACATTAGCCTAATATAACGTAATCTTGTTTATGTTACTCCACAAAGTAATCTTCTTTTGACAGCTAAATAACCTATACAAGAAATGGGAACGCAAACATCGACAAGCACTGAATTTCGCAATGCCACCCCTAGGCAGAAAACATTATTACATCACAACAGAAATTGTCACTGCTAAAGGATTTGACGGTGACAACTTATATATAGAGTTCAATATAAACTTGCCAGAGAATATAAGTAGCAGTGATACTTTACACGGTCGTACTCATGTGAGTGCAGCATTGAGAGATGATGATGTAGACGAATGGCACTTTGGACATGTTGTTGAGTTGAATTTGGAGGCGCCTGATGGGTTAGGTAAGGATAAACTCTGAAAACTGTATTGAGAATCATTTGGCAAGTTAACACGGCATCCAGACTCGGATCTTGGGACAAATTGGGGCACTTTTTTTATAATATCAAGTGACGGGACGCACAAGTCGTGCGCCTGATGGTAAGCTACACGCCTGTCCATAACAGTTACAGTGCCACTCAGAGCTTTAAATCGCAAAGATCTGACTGCCACTGCGCCCGTCACCCTGAGACATACGTTGACAAGTCCCATGTGTCTGTAATTTCACCAGCACCTTTGCCCCCGGAACACAGTAATACTGACATTACTGCTTGGCGGCAGAAATAGGTAAGGTGGCAGTACTTCCCTGGAGGAACTCTTTCACAAGGAGCTCTACTGCTACTAAACTCCGGTGGCAGTCTCAAGGGGGCGCCGAAATCATAATATAATATGTTTAAAAAACTACTCGCATTATTGAGTTTTTTTTGGGAAATAACTCCACTAGTTTTTATTAGGCATGATTACAAATATCGAACACATAAAATACAAAAATCGAACACATAGAAAAACTTTGAAAGACCATCTTTATTTATTCGTTTCATTTTGAAGAGTCAAATTTTAACATAACTTTGAATGTAACTAGATTACATGATAATGCAATTCCATCATTAGGTTTATTGGTAAATAATTTTATATTTAATTTAGATTAAACAAGACTCATTTACTAGGCATTCTTAGTTCCTGAAAATAAAATTATCCACTCGTTTCCAATTTTTTTCCACTGACAACTCTGACCACCAAAAATTCTTATTTTATAAAGCCGGCAATACAAAGACCATGTTGGTCTAACGTTGCCGGGTGAAGGCCAAGACCAACGTATAGACAGCCTATTTGCCTTGCCTTGCCTTGCCATCGTTCGGTGTCACTCGCCCAGCTGATCGAGTGAAGGCGAGCGCTACCGTGTATAGAGCTTGTTTGACGTTTCTTGTCACAAGTCGCAATCGCTCGTGACTACTTGTCTCACGTCGGAGAAGTGTCGATTTTTCTGCACAAATCAAAGGCAATTGACTACTATTGATCGAGCGATCTCTGAGCGATGTCTGATTATACAATTGACATTGTATAATCAGACATTTGCATGCTTTTAATATATGCGAAACATGTTTATACTAATACTGTCTCTTGTTACATCTTCTGTTATACCATGTTTTAAGCAAATAAACGTATGATAATAATATTATTATTGATAATATTACTACTTCCATCTATACCAAGGCATAAATACAAAAAGCTTACACTATTTGGAATCTGTTTAAAAATTTCTCTATGAAAATATTAAACTTGATTTATATTTTAAAGTTTTCTCTTTTTTATATATACTTTCAAATTACAAATATAAATTTTTTGTGTGCAAATTCATTTTTCGTAATATTTGAGTATTTGTAAACGCGGAACAATGAATTCAAAATTTCATGTGACATTCCCGGATATTCCCATATAACCTAAAATATTCCCAAATGGAATATTGATCTACTTTAATTAAATGTTTGCATGTCGATAATGACTTATCGATCGATTATGGTACGACACTAAAGAAATCCGCCATTTGTTCGTTCAATTTTTGTTTAGGTTGATTCCGTAGTTAGGGCAGCTCCTTTCTTTTATTTTTTTTCCATCCTCTAAACTCTAAGGTATCAAGTAACGTGTGAAATTGTCAAAATTGTTTGCTATTGACATTTTTTCATTTCGAATAAAACTTCATCTCGACTGATAGAATGGAGGTCCAATCAAATTGTTTTATTTTTCAGAGATGTTCGAAATTTGAACGTAATAATAACATCGAATTTGATGTTACCAACTAGCAATAATAACATTTTCACAGATAAGAAATTTGTTCTAACAAAACAGTTTACCTTTAGCTGGTCGTAATTTGCGGGTTTTGAACACATTATAGAGAGTTTATGGTATGTGTGCAGATAAAATAAATTAATGTCATGATTCGCTAACGTCGTTGTTTCAGATTTCCATAACACAAGTGCTTTAGTACTTACTTTGGAATCAAATCAATATATGTGATGTTGTCTAATATATATTTATTTCTTTAATTTTCTAGAAACGTTACCCTTACAAGTGTTTTTCGAAGTTATATCGACTGATTGGTGGGGCCGACACCGCACAGAAGGTTATACCTATCTTCCTCTAACACTTGACCCAGGGAATTACACAAAGCAGCTGTCCTGTTCTAGACCCGAGGAACTGGATGGAGTAGAAGCAGCGAATCGAAGATTCTTTGTTGGAGGATGTCACTTGATTAGAAATTTGGACATTTTAACTAAGGCACAATTGCAGGTTTGTCTTATATAACCTTTATGTACATTACTGCTGTACACGATGTTCCTATAATAAAAATGTGGAGTGGATGAGGATGTCCCGGTTATGATTTCCTTTATAATAATAATAATAATAATTACTCAGTTACACGACGCGAAGGTAATAATAACAGACGCACGCGGTCGCTGCGGCGGCGACCACGTGGCTTGAGCGCGATAAAATTCGTGTCGAATAAACGCGCCCTAATAATCGCTTATTTCAGAATGTCTCCATGTCGTGTTAGTAACAATTGTAACCTTATGCCTAACCTAACCTAAGCCAGTGAATACACAAATTTATATATTTTACTCAATCCCTTCTGGCTGACATGTCTCCAATGCCTGCACAAATGGGCCGTCGTCTCTCTCCGCAACAGTGGCCAGGAGGCTATTGGAGTTGGCAAGTACGCGCCTCGACAACGACGCTACTCGCTTACGCATGATGACCTTAAATCGTCCGTTCGCATTTCCGCGAACATTCCCGACGCAATGCAATGCCTCGACAGCCCGAACAACATGCTGAATACGTTGTTGTATTGGACTCGTAGGGCGCTGTATGCCTTTTGAGTATAGTTGATCCATAGGCTGCAAGTGTAAAATGATCGGCAGTAAGTTGTAAAGGGACAATTTTACGTTCTTGCAAAACTACGGATCAACATATTACGTCTGACTGCCAGCGTCTTACACTCCCGAGTCCACGTCATCTTTAAGACTACAATTATTATAACCAATGTATTTGTTAACTTTCAGGACGTAAACTTCAAATACACAACAACAGGGACACTCATGATCCGTTGGAACGTAATATCCCAAGCTCCTCTTCCTGGCTCCTCACGAAGCGCGCCATTACCGAGTGTCAGTTCCGCAAATGCGCTTTTGCTAGGTGCCGAAGCGGTATTAAGGCAGTATAAAAGAGCTAGAGCCAGATTAGCAGCAGCCACGGAAGGGCTGCATTGTGATAAGGCTAAAGGTGATGGGGTGCCAAGCGATTAAAACAGTCAGCAAAATAAATTATTTTCACCTCACTAGCTCGGAAAGGCCTTCTTTCTCATTAGAAATCTGCGCGCAAAAATGTTTTTTTACGCGCTAGATTAGAAAAGGTTTTTGAAATTCGAACTTGATGATGGATTGTGGTGCACGTAATTTATTCTTTCTATGAAAATGAAAAGTTGGTGTCCGTCAGGATGGGTGGACCAACCGTAATATAATAATAGTAGAAAAAAAATATATACATAATTATTATATACTGCCTATTTTCTACTATTTAGTATCTTTATTAAATATTTTCTACTTTAGCCTTAGCGCTAACGGAAATATTAAAGAAATAAAAGTGGCCAGCCATTCTGACGTCAAGTTGGCTGACCACTTTACGTTTTTCATGGTTCTAGCAGTATATAAATATAAGTATTTGCTACCTAATTTCTACCTAAACATACTTTTTTCACTATTTTAGGAGGCTTCTATAAAAAGTTATTTTTAAAAAAATTTAAAAATGCCTTTGCAAGTTTATCTTTTCCGTGTAATTGCTAAATAAGTATTCAGGCTAGGAGTGATCGATATTCAAAAAAATATCGATATATGCCCTCGACATATCGGTATCGATATGCACTATCGATATATTTTAACCGATACATGAAAAATCGTACAAAATTGAATGTACACAATTCAACATTGTACTTGCAGAAACGAAACACACTTCGAGCGCTGATTTGCAGGTCATCTGTCAATGTAACGTAGTGGGTATGTTCTCATGGGCTAACCGTACACACACAATAACATTGACAATAATATTGCGATATTGTTGTTTGAGAATATACATAAACTTGGGTTGTCAATAATATTGTATGTGTGCGGCTAGCCAACGAGAATACAAGAATATGAAATACATTTGATTATTGTGTCAAAACTGGTGGTTTTACTTATTTAGTCTTAGTAAAATTTCCTTCCTTTTGTCTTTTTGAATGATTTACGATATATCGGAAATATCAATGTTTTGTACCGATATATCGATACAACATTTCGATATATATTCGACGATAATTTAGAAATTCAACACTGTTCTTTACCTTTGGTATCGGAAGATCCGCATCACAAAGCGCTTAATATTTGTTTTGACTTATTGGATATATGCTCTGTGGAACAAGAAATAATTACCTCGTATTTATTTAATCGTGCTGATTATGTAGCTATTAATTCGGAGCTAAACTCAACTAATTGGAAAGAAATTTTAATGAATAACTCCCTAGATACAGCCCTAGCAAATTTCTACTCGAAGTTGTATAAAGTTCGTGATAAATTCATACCCACTAAATCTGTTTGTGCCAGTAAACACCCACCATGGTTTAATGCCTCTCTTATTAAAACTTTAAAAGAAAAAACCAAATTTCACAAAAAGTATAAGGTATATGGCAACATGTCAGATTATATAGCATTTACATTTTTGCGCGCTAAAGCTATTAAACTTGAAAAAGAATGTTTTGACTTATTTATCGGTAATATAGAATCTGCCATAATCTCCGATCCAAAAGCTTTCTGGTCATACATAAAAAGTAAAAAGAAAGCTAGTAATATTCCTAAATACATGTATTATGACAATTCACTTGCACAGAATGGGAGGGATATTAGTGATTTATTTAGTGAATACTTTCAGTCCACATTTGTTCAGTCAGTTGACATACTAGCAACGTCTACTAATAAAAGTTCATTTAACATTAATTTGACTACAACGACTATCAGTTCCATCGAGATAATTCCTAGTGCTGTTTTAAGATTACTTGAATCCCTTGATCTTTCTAAGTCGGGTGGTCCTGACCTTATATCGCCTATTTATATGGTCAAGTGTGCACCCTGCCTAGTTGAACCTCTTTGCCTACTTTTTAATCGCTCTGTCTCTGAGGGTTATGTCCCTTTGCTGTGGAACAAAGCTTTTGTAACTCCTATAATAAAAAAAGGGAATAACTCAGACGTCAAAAATTACCGACCAATTTCGAAGTTATGCTTATTTGCTAAAATTTTTGAAAGAATTAATACACGATCAGGTTTATGATTCTCTTCTATCATCACTGAGTGATACGCAACATGGATTTGTCAAAAATCGCTCAACCTCATCTAATCTAATACTAGCCAATGAATTTATCACCTCTAGTATGGAGGAAGGTATTCAGGTAGATGTCATATATACTGATTATAGTAAATGCTTCGACCGGATTAATCACAGAGTTCTTTTACAAAAACTTTTAGAGGCTGGTATCCACGGTGACTTATATAGATGGTTTGCTTCATATATTGAGAATCGCTCCCAAGCTGTTGTACTCTCGGGATATACCTCTTGTTGGAGGAATATACCGTCTGGAGTGCCACAAGGGTCGATTCTGGGCCCCCTATTATTCGTTATATTTATTAACGATATTGAAACTTGCTTTGAAAATTCTAAAATATTCTTATTCGCAGATGATATGAAAATTTTAAAACAGGTTACTTCTCTGTATGATGCAAATAAACTGCAAGAAGACTTATTTAGATTCGAAAAATATTGTACAATTAATAAGCTGGGCCTAAATGTTTCTAAATGTCTGACTATGACTTTTTCCAGAAAAACCAACATACTTAATAATACTTACTATCTACTTGGAAGCCCTATTAAGAAGGTAAATCGAATCCGTGACTTAGGGGTAATGCATGATCATAAACTTCTGTTTGATGACCACATTGAAAGCAAAATCAATAGGGCTTCCAAAGCATTAGGCTTCATTATGAGGACATCTCTAAATTTTAAAAACTTAAAAACAATAAAAATTCTTTACTGTGCTTTTGTACGAAGTCATCTGGAATACGCGAGTCACGTTTGGAACCCCAACTATAAAGTTTACATTAATCGTATAGAGAATATCCAAAGGAAATTTTTGCGTTTCTTAGATTATAAAGCTCAAGTTTGGACATTAGGTTATATCAACCGATGCAAACGATATCATTTCCTTCCATTAGAACACCGACGTACAATAAGTGATATTTCTTACCTAATGAGCGTTGCTCGTGGCTCTATAGACTGTCCGGATTTACTTAATAAAATACAGCTCCGTACTAATACAAAAAGCCTCCGTGAACGACCATTGCTGAATATACCTTTGGTTAGAACCAATTACAGACAAAATTCCTTTGTATTGCGAGCCTCCTCTGCGTTTAATAAATGGTGTGTGGACTGTGATCTTGATCTGTTTTGTACTGGTATAGCTGCAGCGAAACGGCGTTTAACTTTAAAAATCTTTGAATGTATGTAGCATCAGATATGATAGTTGTAGCATCAGCTGTTTTTGTTAATTTTTATATGTGGGAACTCATCATCAGAATTCGATTATTTATTTAATTTTCTAAGTGTTTGTTTATCTGTCAGTTCTCCGACAAGAAGTTAAATAAATAAATAAATAAATAAATAAATATATCATATCGGAAAAAATATCGATTTTTTTACATGAACACCACTAATTCAGGCGCCTAGAATATGCAAAATTTCACAATTTAAAACAATACAAAACATAATAGTTGTCATAGATTAATAAGCAACAGAGTGTCAGAGTGTTCTAACTATACAATAATATAAATGTAAATGAAACTGATATTTGACAAAATTCCACACTAAAAACACTATCACTATTGATAGTTTTGAACATAATAGTTTCTGTAAACGTTCTTTTCTTTATATTGAAGTCTTTACCTCTAATCGATTTTTTTATATCTTATTTAGTTTCAGTTTTATTGTTTAAGCAAAATCAGTGCGCAGAGCGTATATCTGAAGGTATGACGCGTATAGCAAGGTTCCCGATGACGTCAACCGATGGATATGATTTTAGAGTGGGAAGCGTGAATGCGTAACCCTTACTATTTGCGAACTCCCTTTCCGTAGGAGTATGCTGCCTTATATAAGATTAATTTAACACGTTATAAGTTAGAATTTAAAACCAATAAGAAGTAACAGAGTAGTACAAGAAGTAAGGTAAATTGTCTCGTGTGAAGTGAAATGTGTGATTTTCTTTGAATCTGATTATCTCCGAAAACTTTTGTTTTCTAATTTCAGAAGTTCTAGATTTCTTCATAAAGTCCTTCTCCAACTAGTTAAGGTTAGCAGTCAGCTCTTTTGAGGTTCAATGTAAGATTGTTTGAAAAAACTTTTGAAAGGTTTGTTTGGAAAAACAAATATTACGCTATTTAGTTTCAAACCGAGTTAGCGTTGGCGGTAGGGTTGTAAATAATTAATCTATCGATAGTCGACAGTCACTATCGAGACCGCTATCTATCTATATCTATATCTATGTCTATAATTATATATCACTGATTGACTGACGGCATCGATGTTATGTATCATAGACATAGTGTAGTTCCTCCCCAAACTGTCTTTGTGCAGAGGATCCCCTTATAAAATAGCGTTTACTAAAATGGTCAAATTTAAGGCCGGCCAGTCACAGGTCCGAATTTGAACTTGCTTGCCAATGGCAACGCTGAGAGCTGCCTCTGATTGAACGTATCTGTCGTGCCGTAATTTTTTTGTAAGTATAACGGCGGTCGGATTTCTGTGCAGAAGTCTCCATTATTAAATAAAGATAGCGCCAAATATAAAATGATCACGTGTTTATGATTATAAGTAAATAAAGATACCGGATATCCGGCGAGCACCTAGGTCGGATAGTCGGATGTCCGGCCGCTGGATATTGGACCCACTGCCATAAATATGTCGCGAACGCCGAGGTTGATTGATTAGTGAATGATTGCACTTTCACACTGACGATTTGATTGTTGTGATCACTTGGTTTTTATAAAAACGATTAATTTAATCTATAATACAAACAAATACATAACAGAAAAATGTTAACAATAAAAAAACCGTAAAGGCAATATTTTAATATCAGTGCTGTTTGTTTGTTGTGCCGAATGCAAATTTCTCGTGGTGGAAAAGGAAAAACGCAATTACAATATCATTCTTTCGCTATATTAAAATTTCTAGTTGTTATCAGTATAAGCCTAAACTTGATACGCCCATTATTATTTTGTTTCAATTTCATTTCATTAATTTGTTTGTTATCTAACTAATTCTAAGTCTTGGTACCAGATTTGCCTAAAAATAAATTATATCTACTTACACGTTTCATTATTGTAGGTACCTACATACGATCGCGATCCTTTCATTTGGTCGTCTGGCAATAATAAGTAGTACTTAAAATTTAACAAAGTTCTAAGAGTTTATACTGGAAAACTGTCCTCTTAAGCTGGTTTTCATCCACCATAATTCATCGTCATAATTCTCTCAGTTACAAGTAATAAACAAGTTGTCAACGATCCTGTAGTTGCTGTTTATCCTATTACTATCATTTCACACACATTATCACATTTAATCAATAAATCAATTTATTTGGCATACTGATTATGAATTTTCTCAGTTTTAAACATCCGGTATCCGGCCGGACATTGTTCTACCATCCGGTGTCCGACCGGATAGTTACCGGATATCTGTTTCATCTGTAATTATAAATGAAAAAGGTATATATTCTGCAACACAATTCAGTTTTTTCAATAACCTTTTACAAATATCTTCTTAACAATAACTCTTAAATTACTTGAATTGCACACTCAACACCGAAGACATATAACATACTCAACCATTCTTAACGATATCTCTCAATTGCTGCGTCAGATCAGCTATTCTTCTCGCGCGACGTTGCGACTTCTCTCTCGCCTGCGCAAGCTTCGCACTACGCTGGTCAATCCACGCCGCGTGCGCAGCGTATTGGGCACGTCTAGCTTCGTCTATGGCATTTAATTCGTTGCGCACGAGTGTCGATTCCCAACTACTCAGAGTGTTGGATATTGCTGTTCGCTGTGGAAAAATATTTTTAATAAAATCATGGCCGTCGACGTGAATTCAAACTGAAATAATCTTTTCTTCATAGGTAAGGTATCCATACTTGAAATCGTTGCTTTGATTAAACTCTACTATTTATTCGTAAGGCAGACTACCCTGAGAAGAATGAATAAGAGACTCTAGGGATTGCTCTTTCTAAATAAACATTTGTATTTATATATTTATTTCAAATATTATTGGTCGAGACACCTGCAAGAGGTAAATGCCAAGGATTTTTGTTTGAGCTATGCATTCAAAGCTATTTAATGAACAAAAATCTACACTAGAATTACAGTTCTGCATATTTGGATGACAAAAAACCGTGGTAGTATTTTTAGTATAGTGGAGTGTTTTCACCAAACATATATGAATATCATATTAAAAAAATCACGATACTATAAAATAAATAATGAAATATGTGTATTAAGTAGCTAAAAGCAGACTAATTACCTGAGAACAGTCTCTAAGAATAGCAGAGCGCTTCTTCCTGGCATTGTCGACTTTGTTAAGTCCACGAAATAAGTCCACTTGCTTACGCAATCCCTGCGCGGCTTCCAGCCTGTGTCGCCTGTCATTCGCTAACAGGCGTCGCGCTTCGCCATCTAACGCTTTGTGTAATATGTGATTGGTCTGGGAAATAATACAAGTCTATAGTTCTATGGAAGTCCACACTGCGAGCGAAGCTAAGTTAGTTTTAGCTCACGTAGCTGCGGTATGTTTTCATACATCTGTTCACATCGCGAACTAAGCTAACCGAGCTAAGGCATAGATGGTTGCATGCAGCTACGTGAGCGAAGCTAACTTAGCTTCGCTTGCGGTGTGGCCTGCGCTTAAAGTTTAACTTTTTTAGCTTTTGTTTAAATTTTTAATTTTTTATTAAGAGTTTTGGCTTGGGTACAAGTCCTTTGAGCCATGTCGGCGTTTAATTATCGAGATACTCAGTAATATTTTCCATTGTAGTTCTAATAGATTATGTTTTCAAGTACTCTTACATAACTTAGTTCATTTATTCGGGCTTTTCACATAGTCTTTTAAGAGGCGGGTGTCAATATTTATGTTTTCACTTTCACTTAAATCACATTTTTTTGTATCTGTCACGTTATTGTTATAGTTCACTAAATACCTTTACATCATTAACACGAGCAATCCTGTTAGCACTCGACACCTCCTTGTATTTGATGGTGTCGAGCAATAGGTCGCGCCGAAGCTGCTGGACAGCAGTTCGCTCGAGATTCTTAAGTTCTTGCTGGTGTTCTTCCTGTTTACGTTTCTCGAGGAGATAACGTTTGTATTGACCAGATATTTCTTCTTCTACCTAGAACAGAAAAAAACAACTTTGCTGTCGAGCGAAACATATAACTTTTCACCTCACTATAGCGAGGAAAATAAGAATAAAGTATGCCAACGGATTTATTACGTAAATAATGTACGACAAATTGCGTAGTTGAACGTCTCGTTATGTTTTTTTTTATCGAAAGAAAACGTTAGGGGCAACAAAGTCCATCATCAAGTTCGAATTCCAAAAACCTTTTTCATGCTAGCGTGGAAAAGACACTTTTGCACGCAGATTTCTAATGAAAAAGAAAGTCTTTCCGAGCTAGTGAGGTGAAATATAAATTGCTCAGGCGATTTCACGCCAAATCGTGAGGAAAATGTTTGCTTTTGCGCAGGGACGCCTCCGAGGAAGCTCCAGCAGCGTCAAATGTTAATTCTCAAACCGGTCGGAATCATCACTCCTGCGGAGATGGATTGACCTCAATGTCGCATGCATAGATATAGAAATATCTATGGTCGAATGCAATCTTTAATGTGTACTTAATACTGCTAATATAAGTACCTTCTTGGAATGATATTTAATGCTAATACTAGCCCATACGTTAATTGTTACTAACACTATTTAGATTTTTATCTGAATTAAAAGTTTTGAATAGAATGGAAATTAAGAAGCTTTTCTATATGATATAAAGTGACGGGACGAACTAGTCGTTCGCCTGGTGGTAAGCGACACGCCGGTCCACATTAGGTGAAGTGCTACTCAGAGCTTTAAAACCCAAAGGTCTGAGGGGCATTGCCAGCGCGCCCGTCACCCTGAGACATAAGTTGACATGTCCCATGTGACTGTAATTTCACCAGTACCCCATACCCTTCATTCTGCTTGGCGACTGAAATAGGAAAGTTACTTTCCTGGACGCACTCTTTCACAAGGCGATCTGCTGCTACTAAGTATCCCCGTGGACTCGGGGCACCCTTAAAGCAACAAAGACCGCTATTTATCTATATTTATCAACCGATGGTCAATACGTAATCTGGGCTCTAGTGAATTGTATGCCAAACGGTTTATCGTTCAAGTATTTGATACTATTGTATTCGTTTTGTATTTACTTTTTATTATTTTGTAAGTATTGTTTTTGTTGCACATAAAGCAATAAAGCACTGTAATGCGCTGTTGATTACAGGCCTAACTAAAAGAGAATTTCAACTGCCTCTGTGGTCAAACGGGTACCGTGCTGGTCGGCTGGGCCGGGAGAAATATTTGTAGGTCCTACATTTATTTCTCTCGTGAGTATGAGTGCAGCCATGTGTGTGTGTCCATGGCACCCGCGACCCAGGTTTTCCCTAGTGCGGAGCTATGAATGCGAGCGTTACTATTATCTTCTCTATTTTTCGCAGTTGTTGGCTGATTTCAACAACACTTACTGATCGAAATCTAGGAAATACATTATGGCGTGTATCTATGTGGAGGGTGTGTAATAATAATAATTATTATTATATTATGCTTATTTTATATTTCGCCAGGCCTTGAGAAGGCCTAAAAGATTAATTTTGAATTTTTAAATGGGAGAGGCGTTATTCCTCGGCAATAGCACAATTGTTATTATCATTATTAATTAGCCAAAGTCAAAGTAAACATTTTTATTATGATATTGAGTAAAGAGACAAACAAGTCATGCGCCTGGTAGTAAGTGACACGCCTATATATCGACCCCTCCTACGTAAAGGATCGTATGTCGAAATTGCCAAGTTTACAGGGGAGTATTTTAAAGTTCTGAATTCAGTCGGTACTCACATAGAGTGATCATCTAATAGATCATCTAACCGATATCTAGAATTTTATAATATTCTATGTGATTAACGAGCTTTGCCGAATAAAACTGAGAAATGCTAAAGTCACATATTATGCTTATTTCAGTGAATTCAGAAGTTTAAAACGCTCCCCTGTAAACTTGGCAATTTCGACATACGATACTTTACGTAGGAGGAGTCGATATAACAGTTGCAGTGTCACTGAGAGGTACAAAATCGCAAAATTCTGAAGGGCACTGGCGTTGCGCCCATCACCCTGAGACATACTTGACAAGTCCCGTGTCCCTGTAACTACATCGTGCTCGCTTTACTTCTTGGCGGCAGAAATAAGTTCAGTGGTAGTAATTTCCTTAGATGAATTCTTTCACAAGGAGCGCTAATGCTACTATAGTATTCTTCTATTCTTACTATTAAAATAACGGCTTAATGACAACTCATTAAATGAGGCAAATTCTCTTGTACATTTTCTAGAGTACTAACAATTTTGTTTTCAATCTTTTCCTTCTCCCACAACTTTCGGAATTGCTCTGCGAGTTGATTTCTCACTTCATCATCTTCTCTCTTCCTAGCTAGGGTTGCCAATAAACGCCATTCACGCTCCGATATGCAGTCCAGGAGATCATGTGATTCCACTGGCTCGTAGTTCCATGAATTCAGAGATGGCGAGGTTTCGACTGTGCACAGATAAGTTATCGTTGAAAAATAATGAACTATATTAGGCGCGATTCGTACTCGACGACCACAAAGGGGACTGGAATATTCAATACAAGGCATAAAGTTACTATATTCCACAACTACATTTACAAGGACGCCATTTAGCGTAAGTCAAGAAAAAAGCAATTCATTTAACTGATAAAATTATAAAATAAATCAGAATGTCAAAAATTGTGATAATATTGAAATGAAACGCCTGATAAAAACATATTAGCCTTGCAACTTATTATAATTTCAATTGGGTAATTGATCGTAAATATTCAGGCGCTTATGTATGTACCATCAACTATAGCTCATTGTTATTTTCAATATGGCACAATAGGCATTCATTAAAAACATTTCTAAAGTACTTACTGTAAGGCAGTCGACTCAGCGATCCTTTCCATGGCGATGTACAGTTAGACGGGCGTGGAGTATCTGTTATGATTTTATAACAAAACACCATTATTTAACTTCTCTATTAGATTTTAACAATGGGAAGCAGTTTTAATTGGTTGGGTATTGTATTGTGTACGTTACGTTGGCTACTTTCGTTTTTATTGTAAATTACTTGAATTGTAGAGCCTAATTTGTCTTCGTTTACTGGTTAGTTTTAAATTTAACTTTGTAAATGGCACATTAGGAGCTTTTACTTGTGACAGAATAACAAATGTGAGGATGAAATATTTCTAAATAAGATAGACTGCAGTGTCTATGTCTACAATAACTTATTGAACTAATAAAGAAACAAAGAATATAATTTCCAAGTCACACTGTATTCTACTATTAACAGTAAATAACAAATTAAATGTAAGTTTATTACATGGTGACGGTATTGATCTAATTGTGTAGGTACCATACGACGCAAGGTAGCTAAGGTAACTACGTCATCACGAAACGGGGAAAGCTTTACAGTGTTGCCCAGTAATAATCTGCAGGCACAAGGGAGGTTAAAATTGGCTGCTCCGTGATAAAACCTATTAAGTGCTTCAGACAACATTTTACAGGAAACACAAATCAATGTCGCTCTTAAACAATTTTTTTTATGATAGCAAGTGACGGGACGAACTAGTCGTGGGCCTGGTGGTAAGCGACACGCCTGTCCATAACAATTGCAGTGCCACTTTAGCACAAAGATTTCCACTGGCACCCCTACTCTTCAAAACCGAAACGTGGTAATGCTCACATTTATATTTCGATACCTCCAATGAACACAACGCCATCTTTATTTCTTCGTAATTTTTTGTTATTTTCGTAAACAATCATATTTATTTACTAATATAATATTTGCTCCCTGAATTTTGTGAAAAAAAAAGAAACAAGAAACAAAATTCGAAAATAAAAACAAAAAAAGACGAATTTTGTGGAAAAAACGAAACAAAAGACAAAATTATAACAGAACAGCCCCAAAAATAATTTGGCTTAGTGTTCATTGCAGGTATCGATTTGGCGGTAAGTTTGGCAATACTTTCCAGGCCCAACTCTTTCACAAGAAGGTCTGCTACTAAATGTAAAAAATTAATAGTATTAGGGTACCTACTAATCAACGAATATACTGATGTCACAAAAATGATCACAGCTTATATATTACGTATTTTATACCCATAGACATTTATAGCCCTAACTGAATATTTGTGTACATAAGTAAAGATACTTAGCAGCCAGAATTAAAACACAGTATAAGCATTTGATTTAGTTATTGCATTAGAAAATTTGATTTTGACTAATTAAATTAATAAAGCGACTAAACTTTTCAGTATTAGTAAGGTATGCTGCGGCGACACTGGCGGTGTAGTACGTCTGGCATGTTTGCCGTGAATATAGTCCATTTGTTCAGATACCTAAATGTTAACAATCTTGATACATATTTTTATTAAAACACATACTTTACGGTAACCTATCACAAATTCGAATCTTTTTTTCCGAAATAACGTTTGTTCGAATTTTCATTACATCGAAAACCGAATTATAACGAAACCGTTGTTCTTTCAGGATTTGTTGGATGTTTATCGCAAAGACACAAAAGGGTATAAAAATAGGCATGCAACTTCATACGAAGCTAAGTATTTGTATTTTGTATTTGAAGGTAAGTAAAAATAATTTTATAAACGGATATTTCATTAAATAAACATCTCAAGATTGTTTACATTTAGTTAAGTACCTAAACATATGAACTATAGAGTAGATAATTTTTCCGCCATAACACGAAAGATTTCAAATTACGAAACATTGGTCTTTTCTTACGAGAGTGAGCGATTCGGCCGATATACTTGTAAGGACAGTACGCGATACGTGCTACCTAGTAAGCGAACAGTCCATTTTTAAATTATAAATTAAATAATTTGTAATTACACTATTATTTGTAAAGTAAATTCGATTTAATTTATTTCTTAATTATTTAGTTCATTATTTATATAATTTTCGGTTAATAAAATTAAATTTAATTGTTCAATATAATTGTAATGTAATTAGTAATGTAAAATTTATTAATGGATGTATACTTAAATAAAGAAACATTTTATTTATTTATTTATTATTTATTTGTAGTTTTTATCCACTAATTACTTATTCAGATACCCAGTAAGGTGCTTTAACTACTTTAAAACAATGCAAAGTCTCGAATACTTGCTATGTTTTGTATTGGTTAAAGTGACTTATAAGATTTTTGACTGGTCACGGAACATACCTACTAGTTGCGTGAGTAGGGTTTAAAGTTTCGAAATTTCTGGTAAATAGTAGAATTTTGAAGCAGCTGTCACTGCAATTTAGCGAGTACTTACTATCGGAGAAGTATTTCATTAAAAAATTTGCTTCTTACTAGGTTTTGATCTGAAGCAGCAGAAATACTAAAGTATACTAAAGATTTTCCGTATAAAAAACTCGTTAAGAACGGAAACAATGCAAAGGCATGCAGAGAAGTGTAATGCAACAATGATTTATTTACAAAATTACCCAAATACCTGTGTAGTAAGAATTCACAAAATATAATTAAAGTAATTGGATATCGGAACTTGCGTCAAATGTAGCAGGAAATTGGTTACAAACAATTTCCGAACAAAACTTGAGAGATTTATTGGCAAACGAGCTGGTGCCCGCGACTTTATCTGTGTAGTACAGCATTTCAAGTAGCATGCTATACTCTTAGAATAATAACGCATAGAAACCTAGTCCGCACACGCTACGTGAGGCAAATTGAAGCGCTCTCAATGGGCCTACACGAGCGGGCGGGCCTTCAGTGCTCAAGGTCAACTTGCACCGCGAACAGCTCAAGAATTTTAGCTAAAAGTGACGGAATGTGCGGTAAATGAGTGTAAAAATACGTCAGACAAACATAAAATAGATACTAACATCACATTCCACAAGGAAGTAACGCGTTTCAACTTGTATTTTTATATAAATATTCACTAAAACCGAAAATTAACCTACTACTAAAACTAGCCTACATGAATTTGATTTTTGCCTCACTTGTGACAGTTCGTTTGATTTGAAACTATCATTCTGTGCGTTATTATTCTAAGGCTATACTATACTAATTTCATAGTTTTATTCCTTCTCCATACAAATTTTTATCCCCTATTTCACCCCCTTTATGATTAATTTTTGTAAAAAAGTAGCCTATCGTCAGGGAGGGACTAATTTTGCGTAATTAATTCAAAAAATCAAATTTCAAACAAATTTTGAAGCAGTAGAGCCACTTGTGAAAGAGGGCAGTACTGCCATCTTACCTATTTCTGCAGCCAAGCACTAATGTGAGCATTACCGCGTTCCGGTTTGTAAGGCTAAGGGTGCTCGTGAAATTACAGGCACACGAGGCTTGTCAACTTATATATCAGGGTGACGGGCGCTGTGGCGGTGCCCCTGGTGGTAAGCAACATGCCTATCCTTAAAATCATGGACTTGCTGGTGTTGCTAACCAGCACTAAATAAAAACATACCTCAGGTATGTATACAGTTTAAATTTACAAGTATTTCAATGTTTAACGTAAGATAAAATAAATTTATTTTAATATAAGTTAATCTAATACAAAACAAATGTAAATAGAGCTATTATAGTATTAAAATAAGCATTAAGAAGGAAATTTAAATTATACAATCTTCATAGTAAAGCTATTATACATTTTAATATTAGAACCACGTCGGAGCACTGTCACAGTATATGCGCGGTTGCCATTGACTTACAAATAAATGGACCACGGGTCTAATACAAAAACCACGAAAAAAATGTCCCAAGTCAACCTATTCGAAATTTAAATTGTAATGTCTCGCAGTATCGCGCTGTCAGTAAAACAAATGAAGACTAAAGCGGAGTTTGGCGCTCTGTATACGATTTTAGCGCCTTACAAGTGCGGACACTTTTTAGCGCGGACCTGACGTCCATATAATTGTAAGTCAATGGCGGTTGCGTACAGAATTCATCGGATCTCACATCTTTAATGTAAAACATCGTAAAATTCTCACACAATTGTCCACAAACTTTAATAATGCTCAAGCTAAAACAAATGGACAATTTTACATACACAAAAGAACGTAAACCAACATTTCTGGAGAGAGGCTTATCATATCTGTAGTTATCTGTTCAGATATCAACTCAGTTCAGAGATATGGGGCAGTCGTAAATATACCGCGGTTCGGTGATGACGCATAGAATGGACGAGGAAAACAACCCTACGGCTAGAAGACCTATGCCTAACGTATTGAAGAAACTAAATAAGGAAAATCTGCTTCTCATTGAACGAGGTCTTCTCGGTGACTTACCGGATAGCTTAAAGTCAAATTATGTACCCCCGGGACCTGTTAGAGGCGAATCTAACGAGCTCGTAGTATCGAAACCTCCAGGATTTCTCTCTGCATGTTTACCTGTGAAGCCAGATTCACCAGTTTCAGAAAAACCGTCATTAGACGATGAAATCGTTGTATCTCCATTAAAAAAGTCGTTCAGTTTTCGTGAAAAATTTTCCAGAATCAGTTTTTTGGGGAAACATAAAAATGATAAGCATAAACCGAAGTCGACAGATGAAAACAAAATAAATAATCAAACTCACGCGGGAGATGAATCCAAAAGGTACAGTAAAGCTGAACATGAATTTAAATCCAATAAAAGATTCTGGATTTTCAGAAATAAAGAAGTGGATAATAAGGTCCGCTCTAATCGCCCAACTTACAAACGGAGTAAAAGTTTTGAATTTCTACCTAGAGCTATAGAAGAGGAAACAATTGAAAAAGAAAAGAGCAAAGGCAAGAATTTGATCAAAAACAGTTTTTCTTACGTCTTTGGAAGTAATGATGCTATTGACGACGCCTTGGTAGCCACCGAGAGTACAGAAAATATCTCTAACGTTTACTACGATAACGATGAATGTGTTTATCTGAAAAGTATTAAAGAACTACCAACAGACTCTTCAAAATATAACTCCAGCGTATCGATAGCTGATTCTGAG